TATTATTTTAAATCTTTTCTCCACTTCTTCCTTATTTAATAAGTAAATAATATGAGGCAATTCGGGTCCTTTATCGGTTCCTGTCAATACTTTTCGCGCCAAGAGATAAAAATCCCTTTTGGGGGTTTGGCTATTTATACAAACCGATTTAAGAACTGATTTAATATTTTCTACTTTCCATTCGACCAATCGATTTAATTGTTCTCTTAGTTCTCTCAATCACACGACCTCATTCTCCTCAATTTCAATTTTTTGGGTGGATCTTTGAAAAAAACAGATGGTTAAATTAATTAATTCTGCAAAATAATTAAGTTGCGGACGGAATAACCAAGCAATTTGTTTCACTCATTCTTTTTTTTCTTTCTCAGATTTTAATCATTCAATATTTTTTTCACCTAAAAATTGTCAAGCATATTCGGTGAACTCTTTTTCTCCTAATTGCTGAATGTAGTAATTATTATATCAGTTAAGTTTCTCTAAATTGTAGACGGCTCCGCTAGCGTGTAATCCAGATAATTTAAATTCCTCAATTGCCTCTCGAAGAGTGAAAATTTCTTGGGTGGTTCCGGAATGTCAGCCTAAAAGGAGCAAATAATTAACAATTGCTTCCGGCAAATATCCTTTGACCCGTAATTGACTGATTAGTTGCCATTGACTAGTTTCGGGGTCCCGCTTGGAAAGTTTTTTTTTTTCTTTATTGAGAATTATGGAGATGTGTCCAAAAAGAGGAGGTTTTCACCCTAGTGCTTCATGCAAAACTAATTGCTTTCCAGTATTAGATAAATGCTCTTCACCCCGTAAAACATGACTAATTTTCATGCAATAATCATCAACCACACAAGCGAAATTATAGTTAGGAATGCCATTTTGGCGAAAAAGCACAAAATCCTCAATATCCTTTCCCCGAAAATTTACTTCACCCCGCACCAAATCATGAAAAAAGTAATTTCTTTCGCGGGGAATTTTTAAGCGCAAAACATGAGGAATTTTTTTTTGGAGTAAGAAATTAATTTCTTTTTCGCTCAATTGTAAGCATTTTCGCGAATACTGGCAATTACTTTTTTTGTTTTTTTTTTTATATTCTTCTTTCTCTTGGGTCAACTCTTCTGGGGAACAGAAACAAAAGTAAGCGTTTTTTTTCTGCAATAATTGTTCGATATATTTTCTGTAAATATTTAGTCTTTGCGTTTGTCGGTAAGGCCCATACTCGCCAGCCTGGAAAATTGATTCGTCGGGCTTAATATCTAACCACAATAAGTCCTCATATAGACTATTAACAAATTCCTCCCGGTTTCTTTTTATATCAGTATCCTCAATGCGGAGGATAAATTGACCCTGGTTTTTTTTCGCTCAAAGATAATTAAAAAGAGCCGTGCGGGCTCCGCCAATATGTAATTCACCGGTGGGACTGGGGGCAAAACGGGTTCGTGCATTCTCATTTTCTTTTTTCATACAAAACTAGCGGACAGACTTGGAAATTTTGCTAATTTCCCGCCTAATCAAAATGATAGCAAGTGCCGCAAAAGCCAAGGGGATGAGAAAACTTAAATTAAACCAAGCCGCATGAGGTCCGTATTTAACATTGTCTATCACCTTTCCTCCCTCAATAAAAACCCTCATTAACTCGACACTGATAGCTATTATCCCAAACTTTTTTAAAGTTTCCTTGCAGTGCTCATTCGACTCGGTAGCCTTAGTGATTATATAATCTTTCTTTTTATCACTTATTCCTTCAGCTTTGTTAATCGTAAAGCACATTTGGTTAAAGGGCGATTTAAGTAAAGAGGTAACTCAACCATCCAGACTAAATAATATCCCTTGAAAAATAATTACACAGGCAACTAGTAATCCGTCTTCTTTGCTTCATCCTTGTTTTTTTATCAATATAGCGATTTGCGGGGCTACCACAAAAGCTCAAAATAGATAAGCAATTATGTAAATGGAAATTAATCGAAAGAGAATTTTTCAGTATTCACGAAATTTATCATTAATTCTCTTAAAAGTTTTTTCATCAAGTTTTTTAGTTTCTAATTTTTTATTTTTAACTTCTTTTTTTTCTATCTTTTTATTACCCATACTAGGAAACATATTTTACAGTTTTTCGAACTACTAATTGTCAACGGCCTTTTCGCCGCCGAGCCGCCAGGATTTTTTCACTGCGAGCCAAGTAGCCGTGCTTTCTTAATCTTTTCTTTTTTTTGGGTTGTCAAGTCCTTTTCATATCTAATAATATAATAATTTTAATATATAAACATGGTGTTGTGAAGACCTTACCGTTTACGAAAAAATTGACAATTTCAAGAAATAATCATGAAGGGACAGAAAATAGTCAATCCTAGTTTTGTTATTTTTTCAGTAATTAATAATCTCAACAATTGCCAATTTGGTATTAGCACTCCGAAAAAATTGATAAAAAAGGCGGTCGATCGCAATCGCTACAAAAGGCAAATTCGGGATATGCTGATATCATACTTAAAAAAACATAGTGACGGTTGCCAAACGAGCGATAATCATTTACATTATAATTTTGTTATCATTACCCGCTATCCTTACCTGGAAAATGATTTTCAAACCAACCAAAAAAATCTCTATAAACTGCTAATTTCCGCCCCCCGGAGGAAATCTAATCTGCCACCGGAAATTGGTTCCCAACCCGAAAAAAATTAAGTTAATAATACAAAATTTTACTAATTTCTGCTGATAAGCATTAGTAACCCCGTTGGTTTTTATTTCTTTGACTGTTATATCTTTTTGCAATATAGACAAAAAAAATGAATTATAAAAAGAAACTAATTCAGTATATGGAGATATACCCAAGTGGCTGAAGGGGACAGTTTCGAAAACTGTTAGGGAGTTAAATCCGCGGGGGTTCAAATCCCTCTATCTCCGCCAATAAAATTATTATAATATATGAATATAGAAGTAATAAATAACGAAAGAAAGCATTTAATCATAGTAGATTTAGACGGAACATTACTAAACAAAGATTTTTCCACCCTCAACCAGAAAAACAAGCACGTTCTCCAAGAACTACAAAAAAGAGGTCATGAAATCTGTATCGCTACGGGACGTAATTACTTATCGGCTTTGCCGTTTTACAAAGAAATAGGTTTGAATGGCTTTCTCATTACTTATAATGGGGCTTACATTCATCACCCAATAAAAAAGGACCGGACATTATCGGCAGTTATTCCTATCTCTAAATCAGTGGTTCAGAATATATTAACTAAAGATATTATCCAAAAAAATTTACTTAATATTATGGTTGATTCGATAGATAGAGAAAGCATTTCCACCAGTGATGACGTTTATTATCAAGAGGTTTTTTTTAATCGTAATCCCTATATCAAAGCAGAGAAAGAAAGCAAAGAAAAAATGTCAGCAGGAGACATCACCAATTTTTTACAACACCTCGGCGATAAAGATTGTTTACAATTAGTTCTGGAATTCCCCAACGAAGAGAAAAAAATTAATAAAATCATTTCTACTTTGAGAAAAGAGCATAAATATAGTATTACTTTCTATTATGGAGAAAAACTAAAAGCCGCCCGAGAAGGGGAAAAAATATTAGTTCCCGACCCAACTAAGTCGATAATTAAAATCCGTAATTACAATGCCAATAAAGGGGAAGCAGCGAAATTAGTAGCTAGTTCTTGCGAAGTTCCTCTAATGCATACTATTGCCTTTGGTAATGACATCAATGACATTGAGATGATGGAAAAAGTTGGAATTGGGGTAGCGGTTTCGAACAGTGTTAATAATTTAAAAGCCTACGTTCATGATATTACCGAATTTGATAGCCACAGTGGCGGGGTAGCCAAATATTTAACTGATTATTTTGGGTTATAAGCAAAAATACATTAAAACTTATACAAACCAAAAAAGAAAAAAAACTAAAAATTATTTTTTAAATAACACGAAGTCGTCGGCAGTGTTGGGGGAATTTTTGGTTCGGTCTTTTTCATTAATTCTGGATTGGGAAAACTTTTTTTTTAATCTGGCTAAATCCTTTAAGGTTAGATGGCCGACATTAATCCTAGTCATAGGCTTGATTTTTTCCGCCACCCGAACTTTTTTAAAGTTGGTCAGTAATTTTTCCAAGTACTCAAAAGTCTCCAAATAGGTGGTTAGTTCCTCCTCCTTTATTTCTAATTGGAGTTCTTGGGCGAGTTTCTGTAATTCCTTTTTTTCCATTTTTAACTTTTAATAAATTTTATTATTTTTTTCGCAAAATCCAAAAATATAAATACGATAAAAAAAGCATTATTCAATTACTAAATCGGTGCAAAAAAGAACAGGATAGGAAAGATAATAAAAATTCTAATACTTCTCGCTCAGCACCTTTTCTAGAAACTATCTTTGGAAAAATTATTATTGTCATAATAGCAGCAGTTGTGGTGAGTTTAATAATTTGATTCTTGGCAAGCAAGGCAACAAAAAGAAATAAAAATAATTAATATATATATGAAAACAGTTGGTATGTTAGGCAAAAAAATGCGGATGACACAATTACCTTCCAGCACTGGCGAATTAAAGCCAATCACCCCAATATGAATTGGCGGCAACGTGGTCTCCCAAATAAAAACTAAGGAAAAAGATGGTTATGAGGCTTGTCAATTGGCTTTTGGGCAATGTCGTAGTAAGATTTTAAATCAGCCGCAATTAGGACATTTAAACAAAAATAATCTTTCATCTTATAAGTATTTACGAGAAATAAGAGATATGTCAGGATTTGAAGTTGGCTCTCTGATTGATTTGTCTTGTTTTCAGGCTGGCGAAAAAGTTAAAATCACGGGAGATTCCCTAGGCAAAGGCACTGCCGGAGTAGTTAAAAGACATGGTTTTGCTCTTTTGGGAGGATCGCATGGTGTTGGTCCGATTCGTCGTTCGGGTGGTTCATTAGCAGGTGGACGAGGCACTCGGCAAAAAGTCTCGAAAAATAAGAAAATGGCCGGCCGGATGGGTAACAAAAAGGTAACCCAAAAATCAATAATAGAAAAAATAGACCCCAAAAATCAGATCATTTTTGTCCGCGGGGCAGTTCCGGGTCCCAAAAGGGGATTAATTATTTTAAGAAAAAGCGTATAATTTATTTTGATAACAAACTATCCTCACCAACCACAAAACTTTATTAAACATTACATATACTAAAAAACCAGAAAAAAATAAATAGTTATGTTAATATTCCAATTAGATTTACAGTTTTTCGCCACAAAAAAAGGGGGCGGTTCCGCTTCTACGAATTGTAGTCATAAATCCTACAATCCCAATAATCTCGGGGTAAAAAAATTTGGTGGCGAGTATGTCCGAAGGGGCAGTATCATTATTCGCCAACGAGGAACCAAATATAAAGGTGGTAGGGGGGTGTTCTTTGGCAAAGATTATACCGTCCATGCTGAATATGATGGCATTGTGAAGTATTATAAAGGGCGAGGGAAAAGAACTTTTGCCTCTGTTTTGCCACTCCCTAACAAGAGTAAAGGCGAGGTGAATAATATATAATCGGTTATTTTTGCTATCATTATGAAATTAAAACAACTTTTTAATTAACATTTATTCTTAACTTTCCTTTTGCTTTATCCAATTCTGATTGAACGAAAATTGCTAAAATATCGCTCGGCTAAAAAAATATGTTCCGTCTTGACAAAAGAAAAATTTTTCTCCTTTATCATTATTACCTATTGGGCGAAATCAAACAAGTTGAGGGCGAAAATGAGAAGGAAAAAGAAAGAATTGTTTGACTTGATAAATGTTTAGAAAAAGAAAAACTTCTTAGCCAAAAAAATCACCAAAAAATTAAAAACTGGTTGGGAATTTTCCCGTTTGCCTCCTTTGGAAAGAGCAATATTAATTTATACTACTTATGAACTACTATTTGGAAAAAATACTGATTTTTACAAAATGATAATCGACCAAATAATTAATTTCAGTAAGGTCTATTTGGAAGGGAATAAGTACAAGTATATCAATAAAGTGCTAGATTTGATAATCAAAGAGGAAAAAACTTCGCCCGTTGACAATTAAGTGTTATAATACTTTTTAAAAATAACT